GCGTTGTGTCATCCTATCATGCATTGGAATCTGTCTGTACGGTCTGAGCCAGGCCATTTCACTGGTCTTGAGGCTGCGGAAGAGACCTTTGAGGCCTTTCTGCTGTCCAGTGAGAAGCCATTCCTGGTACTGGAGCATACTTTCATCATTGGCCTGCTGTTGGGCTTCTTTGTGCTGATGTGTCATGGTGTGCTCCATGAGGTCCGCGGCATGGGGATCTCTGTATTTGTGCCAGTGGTATGTGGTGTCCAGAAACTGACCCCATGTGGGTGGCCCTTGCCAGTGTTTCTGCCCATCCTTGATCATCTTCATGAAGCCTTTGACTGGGCCGTGCTGGGCTTCAGCCGGTTGTTTAATCGCGAGCTGGAAACGCGCTCGGAGCTGTTCCCAGTAGGCTGGACGGCCTTTGCGCCAGGTTCTGGTAGGTCCAATGGGAAGCAGTGGCTTAGTGATCGCCCTCAGGTTTGCCCCACGTCCTTGTGCAGCCCATGGATGCTCTTGGAGTACATATTGTTCAGTTTTAGAGATCCAGTCTGCCCAGTGTTGTGCTGCTTCATTGGTGGGATTGTCGTAGAGGCAAAGTTCATGTGCCTGACTTTGATATGTAGTCCATGGTCTGAAGTCGATGTCCGGGACTTTGGGTAATGCCGGGAATTGCTGGATCTGGCGATACTCTCGTGTTGCTGCTTCAACGTCAAAAGTCAATGTGAGCAGTGCATGAGGGCGCCAAGGCACAGCCCAATCGGTGGTCAAAGCAGTGGTGCTGGCCAGTTGGTCATGCAGTAGCCCATAGTCCAAGACATTACCGGACAGAACACTGTGGTCTGGCGCCAGAATGCCGAAGTGGAACTTGGCCGGCAGGACAGTGCCTGCAATGGCATCGGGATGATTTTGCCAATCACCGATGATGACATAGGGATGTCTGGTGGCCTCAAGGAGTGCCAGGACTCTGCTGATGATTGTGGCATTGGTGGTGCTCTGTAAGGTTTCACTGTGATGGAGGTAGATGCCAATCACCAGAATGGTGGCCTCAGTGGCCTGCCACAGAAAGGCATGGTAGCCGCACCCTTGATGATCATAGTGCTCTAAGTCCATCAGACAGCAACTGGGGTCAGCCAGGATGAGAATCCCACCTGAGGTGCCTGTGGCTTCTGGGTTCATGGTGGCTGCTGTGCCAAAAGCTGTGCGGCCTCGGAGCCGGAAGTACTGGCATATCTCTTGATGACGTTGTTGGTCCAGATGGGTTTCCACGAAAATGTGAATGTCCCCATCTCTTGTCCAGTACCAGTCAATGACCTGTCTGCCAAAGTTGGTGACATTGGCGTAGTGGCCTTTTTGTTTGGACTGGGATGAAGAGGTGGGTCGTAGTCTGGTTCTTCCATGGGTGGCAGGCTGCGGCGGATCTGCTGTGGTGTTCTGAACACATCGAGACTGACAGCCCAAATTTGAGTGATCTGACTGGCCAGCTTTGGTGTTAGAAAGGGCAGGTAGGTTGGGACTTTGCCATCGTCTGCTAACCACATCAAATCCCGGTAGATGAGGATGGCAAAATAGTGGCCCGTTTCATGTGTTTTGCCCCGATGGCAAATCAGGACAGCTGGAACAAATTCGGTTGACGTTCTGGCAAATCCAAATGAGGACTTTCTTGTCATCCATGAGGTATTGCCCCAAGCCCTGATTGGCCCAGTTGTTGATGAGGTCCTGAAACCTTGTGTCTTCAGGCCAGTCATCAGGGTAGGGGATCAAGATCGGCATTTGGACGTGATCCACCAGGTAGCCTTGCTCCTTGATCTCTGCATAGCGGTAGTGGAAGGCTCTGGTTTGTGATTGAAGCCAGAGTGAGTTCACAAAGTGATTTGCATCTCCCTGCAAGTTGAGGTCATGCTGTGTCCAGAGCTCTTGCATTCCTGGTAGCTGGTGTAGGTCCACGGTTTCCGCAGTGTCCAAAGACTCTTGTACTGCTTCTTGCAGGGTGCCCCAAGGTTGGGCGCTCGTTTCTTGCAGCAGCGCACAGGTCCAGCTGAAAGCTCGCCATGGTGCATTGGCATAACAGTAGGCACCAGGGTTGCCCACTGTCATGCTGAGGTTCTGCAAAATGCAGTCGGTGGTGGAGGCATACTCATGCTCCATGTGGTGCAATCCTGTGTGTGGCAGCTCCGGATTGCCACTGGATAGTGCTCCCCCTTTGATGGAGAGGTAGTCAGAGGGCTTCAGATTGTCATGGCCGGAGGGTTGGAGTGAAGTCTCTGATGTCAAAATTGTGACGTGGTCGTCCTGTGCTTCTGTGCCATGTGGATTGGTGCATGAAATGTCCCCTTCATGCAGGCTGGAAAGGTTTTCCCCAAAAGCCATCCATGGTTGGTGTGAGTGGTCCCTTTCACACCATGCATGGTCTGTGGTGAAGTGCACCTCGGAGCCTGAGGCAGCGCGGCAAACCCATTGGTGCTGGATCACAGTTTCCCCGTTGGTATGTGCCTCATCAAAATCATCAAGGGGAACTGGCACAAATTCCCCTTGAAATTGCCCCTGGAGTTCCCACTGCATGTTACCCACTCAACGGTGAGTGAATTGGAGTTGCAGTCGTCTCAGTTTTCCTGCGCTTGGTTGGGTCCTCTCCATCCATATTTGGACGCTTCAAGAGACCGTGAAGTTGGCTTCTCTGATCTTCAGTCAAAGAAATGCCAAGGCTCGTGACAAAAGATTCGACTACCATGGGAATGGGCTCGGTGGCCGCTGTGTCCGTTGTGAGGTCTTCAGGCTTGGGTGCTTGGTTCACTGCAGCCATGTACTTGTCGGAGAGCTGCTTGAGCTTTTGTTGTCCATCATTGAGGCGTGCTTGGATGTCCTGCATGTCTTGTAGCATGGCTGCATAGTGACTCTTCGCCTGGTCCAATTTGACTTGAAGCTGGGTCTTCTTGATGGAATGATTCTTCAACTCCGTGACCTGATTCTTCAGCTGCTGCGCAATCTCTTTCTCCGTTTGCGGGAGGGGAGTCGTCAGCTTAGTGACTACAGCTTGGACTTCAGGCGGTAAAGAGCTCATATGTGTCTTCAGGATGTCAGTCAGCCCTGGCTCCTCCTGGGGTTGAGGTCCTAGGCCCAAAGCTTGAAGCTTGCTTTGGATGGTGTCCGGAATGGATTCCCAGTTGGCTGTGAGGAGCTCTGCAGCTTGCTGCTGGTCCTTAGGGCGTCGGAGTGGTCGAGGCCGGTGTAGCCCAGGCGGTGTGTCCAGAAGGGCTTCTTGGTATGTCTTCCTGGGCCAACCCTTAAGGAGGGTTTTGGATGTGGTGGAGTGGCCTTGTCCTTTGCCTTTGCCATTTGCGGTGACCACCCACCATGTGCCGCACTTTCGGCATTTGTTGCCGCTCTTGATCTTGTCTTGCCATATCCAGTTGTGACAGTTGCTCTTGGTGCATACCTGATATGCACGACACCAGTTGGACGTCATAGCTCCTGATGAGGAGGTTCTCAAGAAGCTCGTCCGCGGCCTGGTGGAAGTTGAAGAGCTTGGCACCGATCACAATCTGGCCTGGGAGAAAGCTGATCTTGTAGCCCCAGTCACCAGGATGGTGTACAGGCCGGAGACCAGAGCGAGACCTTGCCAGTCACCTAAGGGGTCAACAAAAGCGAGGTTGGTGAAGAGCAAGATTGCTAGCAAAGAACGGTCCAGTGCCAAGGTGGTCCACAATGCTAGGCTCCAATGGCTATCTTACCTGTGCCTGGATTTGAATGGGACCAGGTTGAGACCTCAAACGGCTTGAGCCATGCATGCATGGATGTATGTATGCATGTATGTATGTATGTATGTATGTATGTATGTATGTATGTATCGTTCTGACTATTCAATTTTGGGATGTCCGGTTGTGACGAGATGTGGGTCTGCACTGTTTCTGCAGTACATTTGTTGCTCAACAGCAGCTGCTTTTGACTTGAATGAAGCAAACAAGATAGAAACAATTCTTGGCAAAGATGGCAGCCATGCAATTTGAGGTTATCTTTTCGATGTTTTTGAAGGTTGATGCATAATACAGTAATGCTTGAAGCATGAGGAAAGCTTTGCCATGGGTGGTGTCCATGTCTTAATTTCACCGAAACGAACCGATACAATTTTGTGGTTTAAAACCTTGTGCTTTTGTGCGTCCGCAACACATGGGAAGCAACATGTTCAAAAACTCGTTTGTGTTCCGTGTCAACAGATGATGTGGATCGACGTTGGTTGGTGGGTGCAGTATTCAAGGGAAGTGAACAACGACTCGTGTTGGATTTTTGCATGTGCGTGTGATAAAGGGGTTTTTCATATTGTTGTCAGGCAATTTGCCAATGCGAAAAGTCAGCCGGGGAGTCTTCCTGGCTTGTTTTCAACATTGAGGATGATGTCGCGGCCATTCTCGTGGCCTTTGCAATCCGCAAGAAACATTTTTTTCGTTCATTTTTGTAATCATTTAAGTTTTGCATGAGGTTTTTGTTTCTTTGTTTGCTGTTTTGTTGGTGTAGAGTGTAGATCGCACGTCCGAAGGGAACAAATGGCATGTAGATCCAAGGGGAACATATTATGTATATATACATTGTTTTATGATGAATATCAAGGCAAAACACAGGTTTGCAATGCACGTGTGTTTGCCTGTGTGAAACAGCATCAGCCAGGAAAGTCATCGTGCATGCAATCCCTGTGCCGGGCAACTGTTGCACAAACATCCAACCGGCCAAGGAGGAATTGGATTTTGCTTGCAATTTTTGTGCTGATCACGCATTGAATGTTTGTTTCCATGTGGCATGGTTCAGTCTTGTCAGCACTCAGGCTTTTGATCTCTGGTGAGTTTTGATTAGCCATGCAGCCACTTAATGTTTTTCCATAGAAGACCGCCTTTCTGGGTTATGATTCACGATGCCTTTCAGGCTAATGATCCCCGACTCCCCTTTGGTTGGATATTTGCAACTCGGTGTGTGGAGTGGACAAATAATTGCGCTGCACTTGCAATCCCTGGGGCGCGGATGAAGCAATGTCGTTCCCTTTGCCACCATTGGTAAGAAGAAAGGACACAGAGTTTGATATTGGAATTCTGCTTGGAAGAGGCACCTTTACTTCTGTGTACGCTGCCGTCGAGAAGAAGACAGGCCTGCGATGCGCTATGAAAATTGTTGATCGATACCGGTGTGAGCGCTTGAAGAAAACCGCTGACCTGTATATGGAAAAACATTGTTTGCAAAGAACCAACCACTCAAACATCATCAAGATGCTGGGATGGTTTTCTGATAATACAAACATTTTTGTAATGCTGGAAGAATGTCTCGGTGGCGAACTGTGGGAAGTCATCAAAACCGTTGGCTGCCCCGTTGGAAGGGCACGACACTACTTAGCGCAGGTTGTCAACGCTGTTTCCTATCTCCGGCAAGCAAATATAGTCCACAGGGACTTGAAGGCAGAGAACATTATGCTTACTGAACTTGGTGTCGTAAAGCTGATTGATTTTGGGACTGCCAAGGACCTTGAGAACCCTCACATCAAAGGATCTGGGAATGCCTCTCGTCACAAGGTGTTTGAGGACTATGTAGGCACGCCTCAGTTTATGCCAAAGGAGGTCATTGAGAACAAGAGCAGCGACCATCGCTCTGATATATGGTCCTTGGGCTGCACAGTTTTCCAGGTGTTGACTGGTTGTCCACCTTTCCATGAAAAGTCAGAGTACTTGATCTTCCAACGAGTTCTGGCACTCGACTTGCAGTTTCCTCCGGGAATACCCGCTGATGCACGTGGCCTCATCAGCGAAATGGTTGTGGAAGATGCCGATGTGCGTCTCGGTGCAGCCAACATCGAGGATATCAAGAGACATGCCTTTTTCCAGCAATGCAACTTTCATCAAATACATTTACAGCCAGTGCCCATGCTGTCTTTGGCAGATCTGTGCCTGCAAAGGATTGGCAGCAACATGAAACTATTTGAGAGGGTTTTGCCGTCCTGGTCGGGCTCCTCAAGCTTGGTGGTTATATTGCGTGAGCAGCTTGATCGTATGCAATTAGTGCACAGGTGGCAGGAAGATGTGCTCCCTCCTGAGGACAGTCTCTGAAGGCGTGTTTGACGAAAATCAAGCGCAGAGATGCAGCTTTGCAAAGCAATCCCCATTGTTTCTGAAGGCATATGGTCTCTCTCTCTCTCTCAGTCAAATTGTATCTTGATGAAATGAAAGAGAGCATGAGCAGCATATGTGTATATATATAGATATAGGGAGCTGAGATACTAGAAGATATGTACATATATAATTATCCTTTAATATGGAAAGATGATTCAAATGCTGGATTTGATAAACATGAGTGGCATTTGTTCAGTCCAAGATGTTGTAGAAGTCATCTCAAGTTTCAATTGCGCTTGTGCTTGATTTTGTAAACACTTGAGAACTCAATCCCAGATATTTGTGTGGGACTTAGTGGAGTCTTTGTCCTGCAGGTTGTGAGTATTGCACAACTACTCTGGTTCCAAGACTAACTTGCATTTGGATGGCTGCTGTGTTTGTGGTTGCACCTAGAAACAGCGGACTATTTACGATATATCTTATTATGGTATTATATATATATACAAATTTGAATCCAGGTCATTTCATTGTGGACCTGCAAAAGTAGAGATTCAGGAGACAGGCTGAAGATTCAAGCACCATTCCGACGAGTAGAAGATCCCTGCCAGGACTCCAAGGGTGTCCTGAACCAACGGCTTCTTGCCGCCAGTGGGGAGCTTTGCAACCTCAGAATGGGCAGTTTTTTGAGTCGACTGGCCTTGAGGACTCAAAGGCCAGGAGTCATGTCAAAGCATGGAATGGATCTCGTTTAAACTTTGCATTCAGCCCAACGCTAGCACCGAGCAGGATGTTGGGTAGGGTGTCCATGAACGCACTGTTGACAAGTGCAGCTGCAGCCATCTCTGCTGCATGGTTGCAGAGCTTTCTGTATACCCTATTTGCACGGAAGAAGTGCATGCAACCACTTGGCCGGCAACAATTCTAATCTGGTCAGCTGACTGAGGGTGGGACTCGGGCCTCGAAAGTTGTGTGGTGGTTTTCATCGTAAGGGAAAGATAGGGTGTCGAGAAAGACGAGCACGTTTGCTGGGGATAATATGGGAAGGAAAGGAATAATACAATATATATATATGTATAATGGTGCATGCGATAGGAGCATCCCAAACCACACCACGTATCTCTCAAATTTACAGTACATAATGGGGGAAAATAATCAACAGATGAGGAGGTGCACACATGCATGGGACACGCGCATTCACAGGACTCGAAGAAGATACCTTTTCAATTTTGTTCGTGGCAAGCATGGAAAGTTTCCAACAACGGGTGAACGTCCACCTCTCATCCCAAACATAACACATAAACATTTTGAGATGCATTTGGTGCACCCAAACGCACATTTATGAGAACCGGGCGTCCAACGTACTTTTGCACGCTTCCATGAGGCCGAGACAATGATATTGGCAGCTTGAAGATGGCATTGGATGAGGTGGCTGTGATGGTTGCGCTGAAGAGACTGCAAGATCAAACGGATTAAAGCTGCAAGAGTATTTCCAGCCACTTTTCTGTGTTGAGTTCTTTTTGGCAGGGGGCGTACCTCGAGACGAGGCGTCCATTTGTGATGCGGCCAAAGCCGCCTACAAGCATGTGGGACCAGGCACTCGTGGGGAACGAAAAGGTGAAAGGAGTGACATGGACTGAAATGCAGCGAAGCGGCGACAGCAAGCTTGAGCAGCTTGAGCACTTCAGGAGCCAGATTGGCCTGTGAAGAGGAAGGGGCCCAAAGAAGGCATGACGCCGCTGATGTGCGCGGCCAAGTCATCATAATAATAATATATAATGATAGTGCCTTGTGATCGTGCCTTGTGACTCATGCTACTCATGCATCTCAAGCGATTGCGTAGCCAGCCTGCATTCCTTTAGGAGATATTGACACTGAAGATCAGACGCAGAGACAAGACAGAGGTGATAACAAGACTACCTTGCGACATACAGGGCGTTGGTGCACAGTGCATTACTGGCAGGTATGCTGCTCAGAATGGCTCTGTATCAGCGGTGCACATGCTTTTGCAGGCAAGCTCTTTGTATTACTGAAAGAGACTGGTTGATCAAGCTTTGCCGTCTTTCCATACCCCTGGTTTTGTCGATGACTTCAAACAGCTTCCACAAGTCAAGTGCTACTGGAAGTGCTTTGTTTTGTACTCTCGGCTCTCCTTTCATGGAGTTGTCAAACTTCTGAAAGACTGGAAGATGTAGACTCGGAGCTAGACACTGTTTGTCGATGATCTTTGACATGCACATTTGGACCAATGAGCCTGATCTTTTGCAAAGAAAGCCACATTGTAGATTCAAACTCGGCTTTAAGATTGCTCGTAGCATGCCGAAGAGTATGCGAGCATATGCATTTCGGAGGTGTTGATAGAACACAAAGTTTTGTGGGGTTGACAATGCTTGAGTGTGGTTGTGGATTCCCATCCGTATGCCATTTTGGCTCCAGCTGAGTCGGACACAGGTGGGGGGGGCATGAGTGATTTGGTGGTCACTTCCAAACCCGAGGATCAGGAGGGTCTTGATCCCTTGATCATCTTGGGTGCGGGGTGGGCCCTCACTCTCCTCCTGGGCATCGTGGTGGGGTGGGCGTGTTTCCGGACACCTGCCCCTCGATCCACGGCCAGCGAGGAAGCCCTCCAGGCGTGGGAAAGGCTCACTGAGCGGGCGATTAAGTTCGTCAACAAACGGCGCCGAGTTGGCGTAGCCTTTAACGGGTACAAGCGCTTTACCCTTCGAAACACCGAGGGGTCGAGGCCAACCCAAGGCAGGACCGCCAGACGACGAGCATCCACTTGCTGCACGAAGGGCCCGCGGTCACCCATGGACCCAACCGAGGTTGAGCTTCAGGCCATCAACAACTTGGAGGAGGCCAGGGCGTGGGCCGGAGTTGAAGGCCCGTTGTCAGGCGCCATCCTGGCGGCACTGGGGCAACCAGCCCGGGTGAGAGAAGTCGCTTTGATCCCAAGGCCGACCTGGGATCGAGTGGTCTCGAACCTTCAAGTGCGAGATCCTGGAGACCCAGCGCCAGCACCTCGAGGACTGACCCCAGTGGAAGAGGCCAGATTGGAGTCATGGAGGCGTGTCTGTTGCCTACGAGCGGGAAGAGCTGTAGACTTGCCAGGCGATGCGGCCGTGGGAGCGGCACTGGCTGTAGCACCAGCCCCCTTCCCCCCGCTGGCAGGGGCTGCTGCGACGGCAGGGACTCCACAGGCCCGCAAGCTCAAGTTGAGCGCAGTCTTGGATCCGACCCTGGATGCAGAGATTCATCCGCTGGGCGACACGACTTTCCTAGTGCAGACGCCGACGTGAGCCGGGATCAGTTGGCTGCACTGAGTCAGGTCCTGGCGGCGCATGCGGTCCCGTACGCGGGCTTCTCGATCTCTGGCCCCCACGGCCAGCGCCTCCTCCGTCGTCAGACCTTCCAAAGCTACAGCCTCAATGTCTCCACCGGAGAGTGGGGGAAGAAGGAGCAGCCCGGCCCAGCTTCCTTCTACGAATTGATGCAGCCGAGGCCGAGCGCTTAGATGCCTATGCCGAACATATCCGGGGGTTCGTCACCCAATTCGGAGAGGAGGCGTGGCCGTTCATCTGTCAGTAAGGCCGACAGTCGGATGCGCTCCGAGCAGCTAGAGAGGTTGCGCAGAGAGCTCAATGCCAACCCCACGTTTGGCTTCACGGCAGCAGCGCCCTGGAATGCTTGCTACGCCTACGCCGTGAAGGACACGGAGTTTTGGAACAAGGAGCTCACGACACCAACCACCTTGTTCCTGGCCCGGTCAAAACGCACCCCTGCGGGAGCAGATGATGACGACCCCCCAGGAGGGTGATGCAAAGAGGAGAAGAGCCGGCAGGTCAAACAGGACCTACAAAGGTGAAGACAAATCCCGAAAGGGAACAGACGGCGCGTGCGCCCACAATCGAAGAGGGGTGGAGATTTGCCGTCTTTACAATGGTGACAAATGCGGGTCAAAGCAGGCACAAGGCAAGTGCAAGTCAAAGAGATCCCATCAGTGCAACAAGTGCCTGGGTCCGCACCAAGGCATCAATTGCACTGGGGCCAAGAAGGACTGACCCGCAAGTGCGGCTGGCGGCAAGTCGGCTGCCAGTTCGCACACCGCTGATAAACGCAAAAAGCTGCAACTAAGGATCCTCCATCGGCCAGGCAGTCCAAAGACCAGGACCTTCCCGGTCTGATGGTCAAAAGAAAAGCTGCCCCAAAGTCACCAATCGAACCGCCAACCAAGAAGCAAAGAATGGAGGCGGAGAACAGCCGGCGCGGTCAAGAGGCCGATCAAGATGAAGAAGAAGAAGAGCTGGTGTACGAAGAAGAGTCAGAGTCACCAAAGGATGATCAGTCGGCACAGGCATCGACACACAAGCCTGGACTAGGTGCTGAACCCCTTCCTGCCTCCGGGTCCCAGGGGGGTGAGGCTCCGAAGCTCAGACCAGTGGTGCCTCTGAAAGAACCTCCGAGGAAATACGGGTGGTGGACTAGCACCGTGGATGAAGTTTCAAGAAACCATGCACGGATGCTGATCGTCTTCTCCGGACGAAAAAGGGAAGGCGATCTGGCACACCAAATGGCCCGTCTTGGATGGCTGGTGTGCAGCCTGGACACCGTTTTGCCGACGCCCACCGATCTCACGGACGACAAGGTTTGGGACGAGATCAAGAAGGACCTGGATGATGAGTACTTCGAGGCTGGATGGATAGCCACGCCATGCGGGACTTTCTCGCCCCTGCGAGAGAAGCCGCCGGGACCCAGACCCAGAGTCATCCGCACCGTCGATCACATCACAGGGATCCCAAACCCCACCTTGGGGGCTGGAGAACCCGGACCACCCGCCGGGAAAGCCATCGCTGTGGTTAGAGATTGATCCCAAAGTGGCAAGGGGTCGATGCCACCCGATTCGACCAATGCGTGACTGGCCTTGAGACCACCAAGCCCACGCAACTTTGCACGGAACGGTTAGACCTCACAGCGTTGAAGGATAAGAGGTGCAACCGCAGCAAGCAACTATGGGCCCGTGAAGACGGCACCAAGTCTGAAGCGGCTCACAATCCCACGGTGCAAAGGTGGGAACAAGTGGACGGCCGAATGCAAAGGGCATCCAAAAGTCAGGGGGAGTACACACCCTTGCTAAGTAAGATCCACGACATACTGACCGGTCGAGTGGCCAGCCCATTCCCGGAAGAGGTTGTGACCGGGCTGAGAGTGAGGGTGGCCGAAGTCCTGGGCAAACCATATACTCGTCAAGACGGCGGACCGCAAGAGCCAACACACCCCTAGAAGCCAGCGTCATCGAGGCAAGGGGTTGGGCAATGCAAGATCCCGACACCGCACATCTTTGCCGGTGGCTCGACCACGGAGCACCTCTGCATGGGATACAGCGACCCAATCCCCTCGGTTGATGTCACCCGGCAAGATATTTGCAGGGCCATAGAAGGATGGCAGAACTACAAGTCAGCAGAAGAAGAAGCCCTGGAACTCGACAGCCTCATTCAGGGCTACATCCAACGGGGCTTCTGCCATACTGCCCTCGACATGGCCCAAGCAACCCAAGAGCTGGGAGGAAGGCCCGTGCTCAACAAGTTGGGAGTCATCACCAAGGTCAACGCCCAAGGTGTCAAGAAGAGCCGCATCATCTGGGACCTCAAGGAATCCAAGGCCAAGGCCAACCAGATTTGTCACCAAGGCGAAAGGATCATCCTACCTCGGTGGTGGACGTGGCACAACACGCCATCAGTGTGTATCGAGGGGGAAGACAACCTTGGCTGGCAGCTGTGGACATACGTGACGCCTTCATAAACGTGCCGTCAGGGCGAGACAAGAAGTTCACGGTTGCTGCAAGGCCCAAGCCGAACCCCCAAGATGGCATGGAGATCATCATCTTCGACGCCCTGGTGTTCGGGGCCGGGAGTTCACCTACGATTTGGGGCCGATTCGCGGCATGGTTGGGAAGGGCCTGTGCGGCCATCCTCCCAGAAGCGGGTACCCAGATCTACGTGGACGACCCGATCTTCGTTCTGGCCGGCGAACTCAGCCAAGCGGCGACGGACCTCACGGCCTTACTGCTGTGGTTTGCAGTGGCTGGCTTCCCAGTGAAGCTATCGAAGGCCGAAGGGGGAAGAGCCATCAATTGGGTGGGAGCGCGCCTGGAACTGGACGACGTCAATGCCACGGTGACCGTCACCTCCCCGCAGACAAAGTCCACAAATTGAAGGAAGCCACAGAACAGATGCTCAAGAGACCGGTGATTGGAAAGAAGCAGCTCCGATCTTACGCCGGGTCGCTGTCATTCGTGGCTGGGCTGGTAACACACCTGCGCCCGTTTCTTTCTTCACTATGGGCCGTCCTGGGAAGTCGCACGCCAGCGAATGACGGAGACGGGAGAACCCGTCCTTCCGGAAGGGCGGTGCACACTAGGCGAATTCGGCCTGCTTTGAAATGGATCCAGGCACTGGTGAGCCAGCGCCCTTGACCCGGGTGCTCGAAAGTCGCCCGCCGTGTTTCATTGCTGAGATCACCACTGACGCCAGCCCCTGGGGCACTGGCGGCATTTTGAAGGTGAGGGAGAAGTTGGTAACATATTTTTCCAGCAGCATCCCAAGCGAAGCGTTGAGCAAATTTAAAGCTCAGACGGGATGCTCCAAGTACAACACGTTGTGGGAGGGACTCGCATTGCTCGTTGCATTTCGACTGTGGCTTCCGCAGATGGGGCACAGTGCAGCGGTGCGAGCCCGATCTGACAACATGGGAGTGCTGCACATGTTAGCCGAGGGAGGAGCCGCCTCCACCCAGCTCAACGTGCTCGCTCGCGAATTCGCCCTGGATCAGGCACTCAGGCCAGGTTTCCAGAACACCTGAAGCTTGTTGACCGCGCACAGGTGGTGATCGAGCGCAGCTTCTGGAAGGTAGACCTGTGACACCCCCAGAGACCTGAGAAAGAAGCGCACCAGGGGGGGGGAGTTTTCATGGGTCGGGAGGTTGGTCTAACCGGATTCCTTCGTCGACCATCGGTTCGATCGGGTCGAGAAAGAGGGTTCATGTCGCAGATGGCGCTGCAGCATGCCGTTCAAGCGCACACTAGCCTCGGGCCCAGGCGCGCCAGCGCTATAGACCGACGCATTTACATGAAGGCTTTGCCATAATCCCTCCGACCTTGTCCATCGTAGACAGACCGGGCCCCGCGGCATCGGTCGCTTCTCCGGCCACACCTGGCGGAGGGTCACTGGACAGGGGATCGGGAGAACCCAAGCCTTACGGCAGGGGGTCAGCGGAGGCAGCCATCAATGCGGCAAAAGACCCGCAGGCATGCAGATCAGAGCTCACCAAAGACAACATGGCGGAGTCGACAAAAGGACCATCAGCTTCCCGACAAAAGCTCTGGGCAACGCTGGCTACGACCGCCAGTTGGTCGGACCCGTTCCACTTGGACCCGACCATGATTTATACTGTCATGGGGGCTCTCAAAGCTGGAGGGTACAGATCAGCGCAGTTGTACCTTGACACCGCCAAGAGTTGTCACATCGCCCTAGGCTCACACCGGGATGACCAACTGCAGCAAGCGTGCGCAGTTGCAAGCGGGGCATTGGACATCCCAAACAGGCAGCACACCTCCCATTGGAGCGTTTGGCAAACCTGTCGGGCGATCCGGAGGTATCAGCTACGATTTTGGCATCGTGGTGGCTGTTAAGAGAGCTTGAGGCATCTCGGGCACGTCACAAGCATGTGACCATCGATGAGACCCCGCTCAAGGCATCGTGGAAGCTCCCCAGCTCGAAGACGGATCAGGCAGCACTAGGAGCTACCAGATCACACACATGCGCGGGAGGGCTCTGCCCCTATCATGTGATGGTCGACCTTCTGAAGTGCCTACCTGACGAACCCGAACAACTCATCTTCCCTGCTGAAGATGGCCTGGCCTCAACCAAGAAAAGTTGGGCAGACACGTTCGAAGCTTTAGCGCATCGGCTGCACTTGCCCATCGTGCACGAAAACGGAGCACGGGCATACACGGGTCACAGCGCCCGGGTCACGGGAGCGAGATTTATGGCCATTCACAACATCGAGTTGTGGCGGATACAACTGTTTGGGAGATGGGGTTCGGACGTTGTGTTACACTACGTTCAAGACGCCCCGGTAGCTCAGCTCGACATGCTTGCTCTAGAATCCACAGCAACCATGTCAGTGAGAAAGGCTCAAGAAGAGCTTCTTTCCCTTCAACAGCGCATTAAGGAATGTAAAACATCCTTTATGCAACCTGAGCTACACATGTTGGAGGACTGCGACGCCTCCGTACACCTCAGTGTATCCGAGGAAAACCTGCCCGGTGTCACTATTTTGAACACGGCCAAAGGCGGCAGGTATCGCTTGACGTTGATCTACAAATTAGATATTCACCCCAGACGGTGGCGCGCGCGATGCGGTTGGCCCTTTGGCAAGAACCAAGCCGACTACCGCATTTGTAAAGACATCCCCTCCACCGCCATCCACTTGCGCTGTAGCAAATGTTTCCCCAAACCCCGCCCCGCGGTCGCTTCCACCACAGCGATGGAGAGTGACAGTTCGGATGGATCCCACGATCCTTGCGCGTCTGACGCAAGTGTGGGGATTAGGCTGGCAAGGATGTTGGTCCGGGTCAAGTGGCATTTAACTTTGTCATCCCTGGCTGCCAGTCGAGAAAATCCGACAGGTAACAGGTGATGC